AAATGCTTTATTATAATCAGTGTTGTCAATTTCTTGTTCTATTGATAAAAATTATATTCTATTTTAATTTCTATTGCCTATCCTTAGCCTTGATCGCTCGTGTGGCAAACTCCTTAGAACAAGAAACCAATCTTTCAAAAAGTGATGAACGAATGTTTGTTTCTCGAGTCATTACACGTAATTGTTCAACTTGAAAAAAGGAACTAACGGATAGCCGAACCAATTGATCTGCTAATACATTAACAAAAATTTCCAAGAATCGGTAAGAAAAGACATTGTCTAATTGGTCACTGAAAAAATAATGTTCCAATAATTCTCGACAACGTTCGGCCGGTAACGGTTCTTTGACTGCCTCGTTCCCTATAAAGCGAATATTTGTGTCGTCAAGAACGCCACGAGAATGCACATCCATATAATATGATACAATTTGAATAGGACTGTTCAAATGACGAGATACTATAAAATTTTCCAAACTCCATTCAATGTGTTGTCTGCGGATGTATTTGGTTAAAGAAAGTGAGTCAAATAAATACTGTTCAATTGTTGATGCGATTTCAATAAATACTGAAGTTTGAGACAAATGTACTATATCCAATTCATTAGAAACTACGCCAAGTGTCAATAATTCAAACAAAAAGAAATTAATTTCATGAGGATGAGTTACAAGAGTAATATCAAGGTGCAAACTTTCAAAAGTACTCAATTTACAATTAGCCAATTGCCTAACTAATGTCCCAAAATTAATATTATCACTGATTAATAAAGTACGTGGAGCTTTTCCTAGTCTAAAACTGGATTCTTTAATCCATTCTGTTTTGCCCTGCCCGGACATATTTGAAGTCACGCATATAGCATTATCACAAATTTCAGTATATAAAATTTTCATAGACTCAGAGTCAAGGCCATTAGTAGGATAAATATTTTCAGCAAATTGATCTAATATATGATGATTCATAGCCTTTTCTCGAGTACAGACCAAGGCTAGAAGATAATTTGTTTCTTTCTCTTGGAAAATACGGATTGTTTTAACAAGATTATATTGCAATTCAAAATCTAAGAATTCGACATTTGCAATGCAAAATAAACAGTTTTCATAACCTTTTTTTGCGGCAATAAACGAACGTTTTATGAATAGAGAAATCTCCTCCGCAGTAGTCGTGCTTCGACAAATTAGAATTTGCCATGGTTCAGGAAAAGATCGATGATTGATAAAAAGTGATAAAATAACATTTGGAACTAAAGAACGAGAATGACAATCTGCGACGAATATTTTTCCTTTAAAAACCGTATCAGCAATGACCGGTTCAACACAATCAGGAATGGGTCGAATACGTCGTGGAATGTCAGTGAAAATATCATGAAGTACAGCACCAATTTTACGAAGAGTCGGTAAAAAATCTGCTTCGCTTTGAACAACGGGCCACTCTCCAGTCCAATTGGGTAATTGAGGTAATTGAGCTTCATTATTAACAAACCGGACGAGATTTTGACAAATTTCTCGATTCGATGCATGAAAATTATCGTTTTCATCATCGTACGTATGATCAATTTTCCTAAAATAATCATAAAAGGCCAGAATATGACGTGCAGAAAAGAAGGTTAAATAGTAGTGTTCGTTTTGCGCCTGATCAACTACTGTTTCCCATCTTTCCATATCAACAGTTAATTTATCCAACAATTGTTGCAGGTCGAAGGTTCCATGAGCTTCCATGCGCTTCTTTTGATAAAGAAAATGACCATATTGAATCAGTCTTGAAGCCACAGTGGTAATTTGTTGTGCTAAATCAACTTGCACAACAAATTGATTCATTAGCACGCCGATATCTTCGTTACCATCATCATCAACTGATTGATCAGTGGAGGCTCTAGATTTTCCAATCAAGAGTGCACGACCGCAGAGATCGTGCAATTCCGCTATATTATAAGTAGCTGCAACACGAGGTGAATCGTTATGTTGATTTTGTGCCGTATCATATTTCAATGTAAGCTCACATGAGTTCGATAGTTCGTTATGTTCAAATATATAGAGGCCGATCGTAGCAGCATTTTTAATTCGTTCCTTAGTAACTTCACCCCGTTTTTCTATATTGCGATGCATATTCTGTAAAGCTAAATTATGCGAGCCGCAAGAACTTATTTTTTCAGCGAGCGAAGGATTTTTCTGTGATACTTCAGACTAGTGTTCCGAGTTGGTAAAATTTCGCCAATCGATTAGTTGCCAACTATAGTTGCAACTAATCGATTATGAGATCA